ACCGGTCTAAACCCATTTTGTCGAGACATGGTATTAGTTGAGTCAAGATTAAGGCATCAGAGTATATTTTGGTCAAATTCCAAACCTTCACCACATCATACATTATCGTGATTAAGATTTGAAGACAGGAAATCCAGTCTTAAAAATGATGACATTCTCATATTCAAGAAACGCTGCGATCTGGTTAACACAGTGAACTGGAAACGCTGCGGTACTAGTCTAGGTATAATGTTTACTATAGGAATTAGCAGCTTGACTTTCCCTTTCAGGAAGAGAACACTATATTATAATCCTTGGAATCAAAAGAAGAAAGATTAATTCACATATAAACTTTTTGTTTTTTCGTCAATAGTTTTATGTTTTAGCACACATGTAGGCATGACATCATCTATTGTAGGCTTGTTGCATGTACTAGGTTTGTTGGCTTTGAGAAAGGCCACTATATATTCGATTCATATTTAAATGAGTTGGTCATGAAATACTGGGTTAATCCGGTAGCCTACGGGCGTTAGTTGCTTTCACAAATACGAGTTCAGATGCGATACATAAGGGTAATGTATTGGGGGGGTTTGGGATATGAGGTTTATCCAGAGGGAGATGTGCATATCTACCTGAGGGACCGTGGACCGAAGGTAGATGTGCATATCTCACGAGGGATGAACCCAATATCCAAACCGACCGTACATAACTGCTTTAACCTAAACCAAGTAGAGTTTTCAGGTGCATATGGCCATTTCAATAGTACAAGGAAGAGGGGGATTAACACCAGAGTTCAAAGATGACATACACTTAAAATGTAAACCTGTATTGAGATGACATACACCTCTGATTGGTCCAAATCAATAAACAAAAATGGCGGATTCAAAATTTTTTAATAACGCGTCAAATAATATTATGTTGATTCCTGTCGTATATATTAAACAATATCATAGCTTGGTTTTTCAAATCAAGATAAAGAAATATGTAAGGAATATGTTTACATCGATTAAAACGTCACGACGACGCGCTATGTTCGAAAATTAACTGGTGAGAATTTGCGCAAACGAAGGTGGTACGCATGCGCAAGAGACGTATTATGTCAGTCATCGCTAAAGCTCTGGGGTCCCCCCCCTATAGTTCAAGGTGTACATTTTCCGCCATCTTTATTGTTGTTTGACAATAATAGCCACATGGTTGGATGATTTCTGGCTTGAAATTGTGTTTTTCTAATTAACTAGAGTTTTTCGAGTAGTTTCGTGCAGTTTAAAAATATTCTGACAACAGTTATGAAACATATGGCTACCTTATTAACCCTGGGGTCATTTTCCCAAGAACCAAATGATTTTCCTTTAAATTGACTAGTTTTTTCATTTACATCATGAAATCTACTGCCTGATGGTGACATTTTACAATATCGTGTCAAGAATTTGAGTATTTCATTGCATATTACGAATTTTAGCCAAAATCACTGAACCGTGGAGCAGAAAATTGGGCAAATTTGGCCTACTTAGGCAAAATTTTACTAAAATTATCAATTTTTTGATATTTTATTCCATTCAAGAACCTCCTGATTGGAAAAATGATGACATATTTGATCAGTTTTGACTCTGGACTAGAGAATTTGGACTTTTGAGATAGTTTTAGCTCGAATTTAGTCATTCAGAGTGGACAAATACATCAAAAATTGACACTTAACTGACCAATCTCTTACTGTACCCCTGGTATGTACCTTCATTCTTTACTGGAAACCATAAGATGGTAAATTCAATCTTTATTATGAACAACAACTCATTGGCCTCCCCATTTACGACAACATATGACATCTAGGGGTCATTAAGGACGAAACTGTAGCCAAATATCGTCAAAACCAGTGGTTTTTGGGGTAAAAAGCGAAAACTGCTGATTTAGCAAAAAGATTAAATTTGTTCATGAAAATTCCCCTTTTTGCCTCCGCCCAGAATATGTTTCACACTAATAAACTTCAATTCTGGGCGATTCTGAGTAGTTTTAAATTTTTTTGTCACTTTCACATGTGACTAATAGGCCAAACTGCCCTAATTCACGTCACCATACTAGTCAATGGGCAAAAGGGCAAACGCCTGACTTTTTATCTCGAGTTATGGATTTATGTGGCCTCACTGGCCTATCTGAGGCTCTAAAGCTATGTCTAAGCTACATTTCGACACTAAACTGATCAATAGGGGCCAAACATCTACTTTTTGAAATAATTGGTCAATTGTGACACTACCCCCTCTCTCTGCCGACACAAATTGAAATTCACGAAAATCAAGGCAAAATTAATACGCCACTTGACTCGAAATTTTCCTTCAGATAACCCGAATAAACGCATTTTCAGAAGAAATGGCATGTTGTCATTGCAAAAAGATGACAACTGTACCTACATACTAGCTTACTGACTCGTCATGATGACAATTGTGTTGGGACTACATTCATTTTTTTAAACTACTTTTTTCTTCAGCGGAAGTGACGTATTAGGGCAGTTTGGCCAAGGTCTCACTCCACAGTTGCAGTGAAATTACCGGAAGCGGAAAGATATGCACCGAAGCGGGAGAATGGAGGTTCTGGATATATCTTACCAACTTACTGTATCTCCCTAAAACTCTACTTGGCATAGGATAAATATATTTATTCCACAGTTAGCATGATATTCATAGGATAACATGTCAAAATAAAAACGGTATTTTTGTAATCAGTGGTAAAATATGATATTTTTGACAAAGTTTCACTTAACCATAGCATACGGTGTTTTAGCCATGACATACGGCGTCGTATGATATGAATTATGGATTTTTGCTACTTCAGACTCAAAACGAGGCTAAGTGTCAACATCGCTGGATCGTTTGGAAAATTCGAATTAAATCATTTAATTTCCGACGATTCTGATGATGACTTTAACTATGGAATAAAAAGAACATCCCATATGGGTTTGGTAAATTCTTTAGATTATTTATTTGATATATTTGTCAATCACAATTGGTGTGAGTGGAATTTTATTCATATTGGAGATTGGTAAAGTGTAATATTAGAAAGGTTTGCTAGAATATTTCAGTCGATTTGTCAAATTGTTTTACTTCGACGTAACATACGCAATATGATAACGCACTGCCACCTGCCTCATTATGTATACCTTTGAGGATATTTATTTTCTGGATATCAATTTCAATTATTAAACTTTCCTTGAGAAAAAAATTAAAAATCATAACGTTCAATTTTGGAGATAATCAAAAAGTTTTTTATAGCTGAACAAATAAATGAAAACTAATGCTGCCTCGGCTTTTTATTTGGGTCAGACTGACATAGACTTGTGTGTCGAGATCTCGGAATAGTGACCTCATAGAACCAATAGTGGTTAAATCTGTTTAAAACTTGAATTATATACCATGCCCCTGTTAATGTACATATTGTGATTAATCGTCAAAATGTGGGTTTATAAACCATTGTCTTTAGAGAATTTAAGGAATGCATCAATGGAGATTTGGCTCAAGCTCTTTCAGAAAAGTTTAAAAAGTCATGGAAAATGATTCAAATAACATACATGGATAAATCAAAGTTATTCTTGTTGAAAACATTCCACTGAATTCAAATATGCAAATTAAAGGAAGGAAAGATAAGTCATTGGATTGCAATCTCTTAAAATCCCAAGAAAATTCAACATTCGTATATTTCAGCAGCTATACAGTGTGTCCCAAAAAAGGAAACCAGCAATAGATTGCTTATTTCTCAAATATGAATAATAAAAGGAAAATTCACAGCTACCATCTGATAGGTTAGGATGTCAATTTTCTTATGATACCAAAGGTGTTTATTTTTCTTCTCGGATGACTGAGTTCTAAGAGATTTAAGTGACCATTAGTCTACATGTCAAAAATTGGTTTGTGCCACTTTTTCTGTCATGAATGGCTGAACAATGAGGGATTAAAATGGCTATGCAAGACCATGTCCTATTCGAAATACACATTTATGAACAAGCATTCAACATAGCAAGTTCATGCAGCTGACCCAAGATCAAAGAGTATTCGTAGTAAGTGAGTGGCTCAGAAGTGGGAGCCTTCATCAGGTTGCTGATCAGTTTAGAGTACGCTTCCCAGATAGAAATGTACCTGCTAAGTCGACAATCTGGAAGAATATCAAGAAGTATCAGAGAGAGTGAACAAGTCTCAATCTCAACAAGGGATGTTCTGGAAGAAGAAGAACAGCTCGGTCTGATGATCTCAGGGCCAGGATTGTCGCAGCAGTGGACCGGAGGATATAAGGGGACAGAGAGGCATCATCAGGGATGCAGTACGTGCGATGAGATCAAGGGCAGACATTTGCTTTGAAAGGAATGGGGGTCATGTTGAAGGACACTGGGGTTAAAACAACTTTGAATGGACATTGGGATTTAAAAGGGGTGTTAAATATGATATGTGTAATTTTAATTGGAAAAAATGAGTAAAAGAGTGATATCCTGATGTTTGTTGTTACTTATCACTTTGTTATGATGGTGAAATTGACTTGGCTGAAAGTGGTACAAACTCATTTCTGACATGGTCATTTAAATCCCTTATAACTCAGTCATCCGTGAAGGAAAATAGACAACTTTGGTATCATAAGAAAAAGGACATCATAATCTATCAGATGGTAGCTGAGAAATTTTCCTATCATTATTCATATTTGAGAAATAAGCAATCTATTGCTGGTTTCCTTTTTTTGGGACACCCCTTATAGAACCTGTACTATAATAAAATTAGTAATATTGTATCTTTACCTTTTATTCTCCTGTTCCCTAACATGGGGATCAAGGTACATTTAAGTTTTAAGTAAAAAAAGAAGTCGATGACACCAACTTATTTTTGTTTGACTCCTTATGAAGCATTTTAATGAATTTATACCTCATCATACCTTGGAATATTTGGTTGATTATAAAAAATGGAGAAGATATGATTGACAAAGGACCTTGCACTTTTTTCTTTTTTCTTTACAGAGGGTTTAATTCAATTCGCATTCAATGAAGGCATATTTTATACTGCTCTCATATAAAGCATAACCAAATCATGTGGTTTGACACTGGCGGAATATGTTTGTTTATAATCCCCGGCGTATGATTTTGTCCATACATCCCTTGTCTGATACTGTTGGCCAGGGGATACACCCATATCCTGCCATCGAAGTGTAATACTTCGTTCAGTTACGTCCCTATTAAGTAAGATTGCAACCCTGTTGTTGTTGCTCAATGGTCCACTGTATATCTGAATGTCATCAACAGCACCTAAGCTAGCGCACATATTGTTAGTATTCCTGATTGAAAAAGACGCGGTAAGATCCCCGTCAAAGTAGAAGACATCATTAAAAGGATGCCACCATTCATTTGGCCCAATATATTCTGCTGTATTATTACGTTCGTTACAGCTCCGAACCTTTGCAGGTGATCTCGCAATGGTACTAGTGGTGATACAGTTCCCCCTGTTGTTTTCCTGATGGATAGTTCCGGTTTGCGTATTGATGAACCACTGTTGGTTAACGTCAATAGTGTCGTTCTTGCAAGAGCGTAGAGTTACATATCTGTACGTAGTCTCCATAGTTAGACACTTCGATGAATCGGGATAATAATGGATTCGTTTCCGCAGTGAATCGAATAAAAAATTCTGAGAAAATGTCGTCGATGCACACATCTTTGAAACAATTTGTACTTTAGATATTCCATCAAATGGTATTTCACTGTATATCAAATTAGCTGATATTCCAAGGGGATCTTGGTTTATAGCAATTATGTCTGAATTTTGTATAATATCTTCGACCGCTTGAGACATGGTTCGGAGATCGTTTCCGAGAAATAATGGAGATTTCAAGGCAGACCAAAGTGACATATGTATCCTGTATTCACTGGTGGACATCTTTCCATTTCCAACTTGTAACATTCCAAGGTCGTTCCAAAATCCAGTTCCAGCTTCTCTGGCCAAACCTTCCTCCACAAGTCGATCAACAATCGACAACATCAGGTCAAAATCATCCACATTGTCATTTCCAACTTGCCTTGCGATAGCAATGTCTTTAGCACCCTGAGCACTAATAGTCGGACCAACAGAGAATGCAATGTTCTGATTTGTCTGTCTAAGGGCACGTGACATGGCGATGTAATTGTTGTAAGAATAAGTTCCCGGATGAGTAAAGCAATCTGCACTTTTAACATAGTCCACTGACCAACTTTTGTAGGTTGCAGCATCTATAGTCTGTAACCAATATGGAAACGTGTCATAACTTCGATAAAAGCCATATGCCTACGGGTCACAAATTAGACAAATGCTACATTATAAATGGTCTGGGTACTATATACATTTGTAAATAACTATATGGTTTTTTAATTACTACCCAGTGATTTCCCATCATATTGTTACACGTATTTATATTGAACATGTAGAAAGACCATGTCCCTACTAACCTCCTTGCTATAGCTACCGGGCCTCCTAAAGCAGGTTAGGGTTCCAACACTGGTGGAGAGACCCAACTTTAGACCCCTGCTGTTCAGATAATCTGCTAACGTCTTCATCCCCGTTGCCCCATTAGGCAGCCTTAAAGGATCCGGTTGGATATGACCGGAGGAGTTCCGTTTATATTGCCAACATTCTGCAAAAGAATGTTTTTTGCTGGACTATACATTTAACAATAATCCATCAAAAATTCCTAATGTGTATGTCTGTCCGATCATAATAATGGAATATTCAGTATATTTCAGTAATATTTATCAGTATAGAATAGAGTGGTCTACAACTCGTACAAAAGGCTATGATGTGTACTGGTATGTCTATGTGTGGCCGGGTGTACATAAAATAATACAGGGCTCCTTTGAGGAGGAGTTTCTGGGTCTATCTTCCAGGCTAATTACGTTAATTACGACCGTATATATACGGGATATACCCAAGAGGAATTACTCACCTTCATTGGTGGTAAACAATATTCAATACAATACAATATTATTGAATAAAACCGATGTCAGTTTTTGGACCCGTCGTTACTTACGATTTGATTGCAAGTCATTTTCCATCTACGAGCAAACGATGGTTTTCTTAGAATTGTAAGTTTAAATCGGACCAAAAACGAAAACCTGAGTTCATGAATACATTGAAAGACAAACTTTGGTGGGCTCGAATGAACAATTGCAGAAGTGTGGTCGTTTTCTACTCCACACTTTATTCCAGTTTCCACCATCCTTTTCTAAAGACTCACTTACCGTCTAGCACTATATGGTTGTACCCAAGTCTGACAAGACGCAATTCAAGCATTCTATTGACAGTTTCCCTCACTATGTTCTCCGTAAAGCTGCATTTGAATCGGTTCCAAGTGTTCCAGCCCATAGGAGGTGTTGCAGCAGTCACCACTGGAAGCAATTTTACGACAAATAGTTTTGCTCAAATTGAGCGAAGATAAAAGCACAGAACCACGCTATATATTGGAATCGGTACCAACAAACCTACTACTGTCAGTACTCGTCGAAGCATTTTTACTGGTGTTCATCATATACTAAAGGGTGCATAATGGTGTGGGATGGACTGTTCTCGTAAAAACCACCAGCCCATGGTTTCATTTTTAATAAGTAATGACTCCCCCTCAGGAGGAAATCAAATAAAGAGTCACGTATGTTTATCGCAAGCAATTTCAGGCGATTATATATTATATTTTGGATATATTTTAGATTCGTTCATTATATCCAAAAAAAGTATTTAGAATGATAGTTAAGTTAATCAGACTAAGTGATATTAAAGAAACAATGGACCCATCAATATGCTTTTTCAAAAATGTTGATCTATTACACAGGGCGCCGGCCGATGAATCGGAATAAATGTGACCCTCTCGGTCATGAAAATGATTTCAACGTCATTGGAAAAGTATGTTGATGATTTTGCTCTCGATACCGAATTCAGAAAAAGGTTTAACCTGAAAATTGTTTATAAGTCTGAAATTGTTTCCAAAAACCTGCGTGGCATTTTATGGAATATTCAATCGCATTAATTATTGAGAACATCATTAATATTCCAAAACAAGGGATTACATTCCCTGTGTCACCCTATTCAAATAAATAGTCCTATTTGCCACATATTTAAGCAAATTGGCAACCCTACCTGATGTTGCAGTGTGTGGCAGAACAGCAAATACCACACCAACCACAACCGCTGCTATGACAACAATAGTAACTATCACACCAGTGATGATGAGGCATCTCGGACTATGTTTCCTTCTCTGGTAGGCTAGATTCGTATCAAAATGGTCGCTATCTTTGTATGATGACATCACTCTTCTTCCGGGGTGTTGAAAATATACTGGGTAATAATGGCCATAAAATAGGTAAGTGAACTTCAGAAGCATATTAAAACATCATATACGAATGGGGGTGTGAAGCAAATGTTTATGTTTATGTCAGTAAACAGCCTCAGTGATCATTAATAAACGAAGAAATCATGATTCTGTAGTTACATAATGCCCTTTCTTAATTAGACCTACGTATTTTCAAGGAATATACTAGCCAGTTGCATAACTTAAATGTGATCACTTCCGTACCCACCCCCCCCCCTCCCCCAGAGGCTGATGTATTATGAAATGAACGTACCTTCAATATGGTAACAATGCAGCTACATCTGAGTTTACGCTGATAACGATAACATGGAATAACTCGAATAGAATAATCTGCGGGTTCAATATAGACTTTCAGTTCATTTACAGGTGTCGTAAATTATTTATTTCCATTGCCTGGCTGTACTTCATTTTTCAACCGATATTCGTCATATATGAAGTGTATTTCTTATGATCACAAAATGAGATTTTCATCAAATTTATGTTGAATTCGGTTAATGAGTAACCGACGGTTGTAAACAGGACCGCCGTGTTAGTTACAAAACGGTCATATAGTTAGAGGACTGGTAACATGGATATGCTAACATATATCAGTTCATGACGATTATAATGTTATCCTATACAAGTTCGGGTTTTATTTATGTGTGCTTTAAGAGAAAACAAACATCAAGGTGAACCGTCTGAAGCATAAGCATCCAATAATTCATTCACAATATACAGTGCTAGTAAACAGTAGTAATGAAAAATAGTGCAGCAATATGGATGTAATATGCTCTGCGTAAACAAGTAAGTATATACCGTAGTCATGTTGGGTTCTATTCGTTCTGTACCAAATGTATTGGTGTCAAAGTTACAGAAGAACTGAAGGTCTATTCTCAGTAATGAATGTCATTTGCCAACATGTATGTACTACATCTGCTCTTTTCCATGTACGTATGATTTTTTCTAAAGTCCATAATCACTCTACTATACCTTGCATGTGGTGTTCATGAGCAACCCATTTGGCTTATCAGGAATGATTATGTTATTTGTTTTTATGTGTCTGCTGCTTATGAATGGTTTATTGGATGACTGTTAGATGTTAATAAGGTCCTTTAAAAATATACTAAACAATACAATTAGACAAAGAGAATATCTTATGCACTTCTAGGGGTTAGGTATAGTAGAGTGATAATACATATCATAGTAGCCCGGACAGAATTGTTCAATGGTCACTTTTTCTTTATTAACTTTTTTAATTTTCAGTATTATCAAAATCTGATTACATATTTGAAAACTAAAGTGAAATTCTGACATACAAAAAACATATTTCAGGAACATCTCTTAATTTGTTGATATTATAGGCATTCATAGTATGAGTGACGCAAATACATAATTCACCATTTTGTCTCAGTGGGCTACTATCTATTCATACACTGAAACACTTATCTGTATATTTTTCAGATCTGGCGCTTTCGACTCTAACTCTATAGAATGTTATAATTATCAGACTGACATGAAGTGGCATATTTATTGTTGTGTGGTGTTACTGTTAGCACTGAATTCTTGCACTGGTGAGTACGGCATATTTTCTGTTTTTTTTACTGCTAATGGTGACTATGCCATATTTACTGTTGTGTGGTGTTACTGTTATCACTGAATTCTTGCATTGGTGAGTATGTCATATTTACTGTTGTGTGGTGTTACCGTTAGCACTGAATTCTTGCACTGGTGAGTATGCCATATTTACTGTTGTGTGGTGTTACTGTTATCACTGAATTCTTGCATTGGTGAGTATGTCATATTTACTGTTGTGTGGTGTTACCGTTAGCACTGAATTCTTGCACTGGTGAGTATGCCATATTCACTGTTGTGTGGTGTTACTTTTAGCACTGAATTCTTGCACTATATGCCATATTCACTGTTGTGTGGTGTTACTGTTAGCACTGAATTCTTGCACTGGTGATTATGCCATATTCACTGTTGTGTGGTGTTACTGTTAGCACTGAATTCTTGCACTGGTGAGTATGCCATATTCACTGTTGTGTGGTGTTACTGTTAGCACTGAATTCTTGCACTGGTGAGTATGCCATATTCACTATTGTGTGGTGTGACTGCTTGCACTGAATTCTTGCACTGGTGAGTATGCCATATTTACTGTTGTGTGGTGTTACTGTTAGCACTGAATTCTTGCACTGGTGAGTATGCCATATTCACTGTTGTGTGGTGTTACTGTTAGCACTGAATTCTTGCACTGGTGAGTATGCCATATTCACTGTTGTGTGGTGTTACTGTTAACACTGAATTCTTGCACTGGTGAGTATGCCATATTCACTGTTGTGTGGTGTTACTGCTAGCACTGAATTCTTGCACTGGTGAGTATGCCATATTCACTGTTGTGTGGTGTTACTGTTAGCACTGAATTCTTGCACTGGTGAGTATGTCATATTTACTGTTGTGTGGTGTTACTTTTAGCACTGAATTCTTGCACTATATGCCATATTCACTGTTGTGTGGTGTTACTTTTAGCACTGAATTCTTGCACTATATGCCATATTCACTGTTGTGTGGTGTTACTGTTAGCACTGAATTCTTGCACTGGTGATTATGCCATATTCACTGTTGTGTGGTGTTACTGTTAGCACTGAAGTTTTGCACTGGTGAGTATGCCATATTCACTGTTGTGTGGTGTTACTGTTAGCACTGAATTCTTGCACTGGTGAGTATGCCATATTTACTGTTGTGTGGTGTTACTGTTGGCACTGAACTCTTGCACTGGTGAGTATGCTATATTCACTGTTGTGTGGTGTTACTGTTATCACTGAACTCTTGCACTGGTGAGTATGTCATATTTCTGTTGTGTGGTGTTACTGCTAGCACTGAATTCTTGCACGGATTGATCTGAATTCTGAATCCATCAATTGACAAAATGGTAGTACTAGATTAGTAATAATAGGTTGTCGAGAAATGTCGATTTTTATTTTGTTCTTTTTGAAGAGATGAAAATGGACGGCAGTCTTTGACCCGCCAGGCGGCCTGTACAATAAAAGCAAATACAAGTATTCAGCTTGCCCGACTATTATAAATAATAAGTGCTCTCAACATTTATTCATCAGATTTCGATTAACTCATATTCCCACTTTCCGTTAATGTTATAGTACGATATTTAATATATCCTTTCTATAAATAAAAAGAAAATATTTATATGTACTCTGCAGCTCAAGTCTGCCCAAACGGATGCAACTGCTACAAGCCAGAGGCCAAATGGTTCGGTCCCGACCTGTATCACACAGCCTGTGATGAACTAGCACTCACCAATGTGCCATCTAATATCCCACATATGACAACAGACCTGTAAGTATGTTATGTTTATTTGTCCCTGACTGTTTGTCTATTTATATAACCGAGATTTAACCTCCATCCTATGAAACAATGCAATTTATAATATTGTATTGTTTGTTGTCTTTATGGGCAAAAATATTATCAGTTACAAACATTTCGTTTGTTACATTTTACCTTGTCATGTAAACCTCACTTTGTAGGAAAAAGTGAAGTAAAAATTGTATTGGTAAATCACTGTGACTATCCAGGCCCCGTATATTGCGAGCAAGTCCCCGCTGACATCACGAGCAATGAGCCAATGCTAGAAGCGGGGCCTTGAGAGATATGATAAAATATAGTCGAAGACGCCGTTGCACTGTAATTGAAATAGCCATTGTACTTTGAAATAAAGTTGAACTGAGTTTCACTTACTAAAGTTTCATAGAAAAGTTTCTATTTCAATTTTAATATATCTCTCAAGGCCCGCTTCTAACATGAGCTCATTGCTCGCGATGTCAGCGGGGCCTGAATAGTCCACGTGTAAATAATCTACCAATGATCAAATGAAGATGATTTGTTTCAATCGTTTGCGTTTGACGCATTTATACAGGTTGACACTAAAAATGCCACCTACTGATTTTGGAATAACTTTCTCGATAATATCTTCATGATTTGTTTGTAGGCGCAACAGTTTAAAGCTCCACCGTTTGAGGGAAGGTAACTGGAAATGCATGTTATGGTAACAGTTATGAAACCAGAATCCATGCTACCTTTCCTTACAATGAAAATATCGTTGAACTGTGGCGCCCACGCACGATATTTGAACTATTTTGTTCCATGTTTATTTAATGTTCAGGATTAATCCTACTCTACGATGATAATTATATTGATTGCATCCTGGTTCTCAACTTATGTTGATGGTTTTTATATAATTTAGAATTTTGATAGTAAGTTACATAGTTTTTAAGTTTATATCTAAATGAGAAGTTAATGTTGCTTAAACCAAAAATATCCAATAAGTGATTCTATACTGACAAGATGCTATCTTTTCAGTACAGAAATTGGGCCCCTTAAACGAAAACGTCAGCCCAAATTTTGAAAAAAGGTCCATATTTGTCTTGATAATTTGGCCTATAAATTGGACCCCTTAACAATTTTAGGACCCAAATTTTTCGGGTACAACTTTTTCTGGGCCCACCCAAGGAGGGTTGGTCCCTGCTCCCCCTCACCCACCCCTCTCCAGATCCGCCAGCGGAACGATACATGATTCTTTATCGCAATTCAAAGGACTCTGGTCAATGATGAAGTATAATAGTTCATCATTTACACCTAATTGTTGTCTTTGAGGAAATTATAATTAAATGTTATATGTTTTTGGACACGTTTATTATTAGAAATACTAAAAAGGGATATTGGGTTAAAAATTATATTTGAGAAAGATTTGTATATTTCAAAATAGTATAGGAAATGAAATATTTAATTTGAAGCAGAGAAATCATGAAAACTTCGTTGGAAAATCATAGCATTGACTGTTATGAACACATTGATGATATGCTGTCACCCCTTTTTAAAGAATAGTACTGCTCAGTCCGTGCATTTATCAAAAATTAAATGCACAGCAAAATCATTTGGATGCATATATCAATAAATTAACACGCTGATATGCTGCTTTAAGCCGATTGGCTAGACACATATGGCATGTTTGAATTGATCCTGGTTAGCGCTACTAATATGCTTCGAGCGTACATTCTATAGATAAAGCTTTATTGATATTTTTTCTTCTTGACCTTTGGCATGTCTTTTATAGGTCCTTATCTGGGAACCAAATCTCAACATTTGGCCAGGAGATTGGTAAAATGACGAAACTTAAGGCATTGTAAGTTGTTTTTTTGTATCGCTTTAACACAGATTTTCTTGAACATTTGGGTGAAGGATATCCGGATGCATATCAACATATGTGAAAATTAGAACGATTATATTCGAAATTTCTAAAAAAAATAACCAACTTTTTTCAATTTAAAAAATGCACAACACAGATTTTTTGATTTTTTATTCTAAAACTAGTACCAGTGATTATATTCTATGGGAATACAAAAGTATTTATGGTTATATTTATGAGAATGCACCGTCAAGATCTTGAGAAAAGAATTGACTTTGAATTTTATGAATCAATGGACAATGTTATAATTCCATTGTATATATAATTGCCAAATAAATGTTTAGATAGATCAGCATGGGCCATTAGAAAATGTTCCTGGGACTGTATACAGCATCTTGAAGACCCCTGCTGATCATTACATTAATAAAACATACACCTATCGATTAACCTAAGGTCTGAAATATCTTTTTTAGATCACGAAGTCGTAAGGGGTCATTTGGACCCCTGGCGATTGAAAACTACATATGTAATGTCAATAATATTGATATGGTATTGTTGAAAGCCTTATTCAAATACCCCTCCGACAAAGTATTGTTTTTTTCAAAAGTTGTACGTCAACAAAGGTCAAATCGAGGTCAACGTGACCTAGAGGTGTAAATTATTGACATTTTGTTGTAAGTTGCGAATTCTTGCCGACTAAATGTATTTTTACCTATAAAATTCATAAAATAGTCAACAGTGGCTCGATTTTCGTGAAATAAAGCACGTTGGAATACCCTGTATAAGCAACAATAATCACATTTGCATTTTCTACTGTTTTAGCTACATCACTGTTGATCCACTCGATTAAGCTTACTCTCGTTTCGGTAACTAAATGTCGTAACCTCGAATGTAAGATTTCCTCTTTTCCTTATTTCACGCATTGTAGGCTGAATTTCCACGACATTTTATTCACAAACGTGTATCAGCATAATATGTTTAAGAAAATGTACTGTGCGATGAAATGTCTTTGGAATCTACCTACAACGCGTGAATTAAGAAAAGAAAAAAATTTACATCCGACATTTTCGATATACAACGTAATCGAGTGGATCACCAGTGTATATAAAAACAAGGTCAATAATCCTTTGTGGATTTTTATTTGTAATAATATCAATTTGCCTCTTCACAAAGAAAACCAACAGCCCCCCCCCCTCGCAGACATTTCCACCGATATCGTATTGAATTAAGAGAATTACTTCTCTTTATGAAAACATGTTCTGCAAATCGCTCAATTATTTTCTTAGGGTCTAAATTCTAAACATCGGTGAAAAAATAAACACTTCCGGTTTCAGGATTTCGTGAAGCCACTCCAAATGGCAATGCCTTTGGTGATAATTAAAACTTTTGAGAACTTTTGTAACATTACAATTTGCTACAGACGCCCATCGCCGATCACCAACCACCAACCACCGTCAAAAATGGAGACCATAACAATATGCCACCACTTTTTGGTGGTGACATAATAACCAAAAGTCGATATTAAAGTACTGCTACTGTCCGAGAGCCATTTTCTGAAGGTGTTAATTCCAAAATACATGTAACATTTCGTCGTTAAAGTTTTATATGTTCTATAAACCTGCAGAATATGCTTAACATCCTACGTACCATATGTGTTTCTCTGACATGATGTATAGGATGTCGATCTGGTACTAGAGACGTAAACAATCAGTAATCAATCGATAGTATGCTCATAACTGTATATTTCCTGTATATTTCGGCTAGCTTTTTTTATTCTGAATCCATGAACATTTATTTTTCCAATTTTAGATACAATTGAGAATTGAAAGTGCTTCCAACATATCCATCAAAACATATTTTTAAAATAAATGAATTATTCAAAAAGCGTATTGCCAAATACAAATGTTGACGTTTTTGTCCCACCCTGTACAAACCTGCTTATATAATTTAAGCCAAAACAAATGAAGCAATACAAAAATTATACCGTACATGATATTTTTTTTACTTTGTAGGTATTTACGTCAAAACAATATAAGGACAGTTGATGCAAACATGCTACAAACTTTGAAGGGAATCCCAAAACTGCAAGCAATGTAAGCATAAACCTTCATAAGGTCTAACATTGTGTTTCTATGCTCCATACTGTAACTTTAACTAGTGATCCCACTTCCCTAATAAGTGTTGGTTCAGCAAAGTAATTTTCTAAAACATGTTCGATAATATGAGGCAGTTATATCAATGAATAGTGGCATTTCAGATGTTTATATCGAAACAATAATAATGAAGTCCTACGGCACTACTTCTCCCCTCTCATTTTCCTTGCCAATGCCTTGTCTGTCTTCAGATTCTTGCCACATATTCCTGTAATTTCTCGTATATTTCAGCGATCTCAGTGGTAACCCATGGGATTGCTCATGTACAGAACCAATGAGACAGTTTACTATTTATATACAGACACTTAAAGGACCTCGCCCTTTGGATGGCCATAGATGGCTAGCACATGTGAATGGATATGATGCAACTTGTAAAACACCTGAACGACTAAAAGGGAAACGAATCGATGAACTCCTAGCAAGTGACATTTGCCAGTAATTATTTACTTGACTTGACTTGACTTGGTATTCCAGAAGCAATAATCGATGCTCTATTTTTCTGAAAAGTATCTTAGGTAAAAACCTCGAGTTCCAAGTTTGAACAACAAGACACCTAAATTCATTTTGAAAATGCTTTGCAAGGGAGCATAAGATTTATTGTTTTACTAAGATAAGCATAACATCAATAAATGCCACATATTTTTTCTTTTGATATCAATATACAGACTATTGCTCGAACTATTTGACATTAATTTTCATTTATTTTTGACATTAATTTTTATTATAAAATAAAGTTTCTTTGCATTTGAAAACATGTACAGGATTGTCCATATTTTTTAATTTTAGTGGATTTTATCTTAGTATAAGCATGCATATGCTACGAATGTAATATCATATACGGTTTGAAAAAATAATGTGTATGACGTATGTATCATATTATATAAAGTTACATTTTTGGCACACATAAAGACATATTTACATTTTTATCTTTACTCATGTTTGTACTTCCGTATATAAAAAAAAAAAAACTTGCATGTGCATGGGATTGTCAATATATTGTTAATATCCTCCCAAAAACCCTCTTACTCATTAATGCTTCTCTATTCTTAATCTTAAAGATTAATATCAAGATAGTCCATCATTGATGAGCTTCAATAATTCTTTATCAAGTTTATCAAGTCGAACACATCATTTAAACGGCGTAAAACGTACAGAATGCGTGGAGAGGGAATCACGATATTTGCAAGAAACGTCAACAAAGCTACAAGATATGAACGAGATTTGTATTCAAAGAACTAGCTGGAGGATGTTTGGATGTATTATCTCTATTTACGCTCTACACAAAAATACAAAAACTCAGGGGAGTTTACGTTACTATTTAAAAAACTTCGTATATGATATCTGTGAGCCTACCATTGTTTTCCTCAGATGTCTTGGTTGTAGGTAAAGGTCCACATGAAAAATTAAAACAATCATCGACTGAAGGAAGGACGGTTATGTCACTAAAGCAAAATGGCTATCCCTTCTCCAGTTTCTTTTTGTTACTTAAAAATACATCTTGTTGAAATAAATATGTCCTAAAAAGATGGTTAAAAAGAAGGAACCGAATGACAAGGTTTTGGGCATACATAAGAGATATGCAAGAACGATCATGGATCAGCAAAAATGAAGATGATCATTTTTCAAGGGACGTTTTGTTTAAGGTGAGAATTCTAACCCCCCCCCCCTCTCCTATCACACCAAACTAGTTCTCAGCCGTTCTTTCGATCGCCATGCATCGAATTTTGAAATGATTTGAAATTCTTCTATATCACCTTCCCGTCCGAGCACGTCCATGAAGTTCGTAATCACAGATTACATTACTTCGTTCTCAATACGTCCCCAGAAAATTCAACTCGTTCAGAAAGTTTTTGGCATGCTCTAAGTTCTGGAGGACCTATCCGTTCGAGTAAGTTCACAAAGTTAGTAAATATACCCCAAACGGTTTTAAGTATGTCCAATAGTATGGTATGGAGTAATTGAACTATCGGGAACGATTGCGTGCCAATTTACCATATCATGGGCTTATTCATTTAAAGATTTATTTTTCATCATGAATCTTGTAGGTTTGATGAATCGAATTTCCTTGCAAAAAACGTACGATCGTGGTTACTCATAGCAACAGTGTCCATATGTTATGTAAATAACTAGAGGTATCTCATATGGAATATTTTATCATCTTCCAAGTTTGATCTTTTATGGTGAAATATTGCTGTATTATATATAGCTATGGGCAGTACCCTATGGGCTATAGATGGCTCAATCTGAGTAATTTGAGAAAATGTACGTATATCTACACCGTGTAAAATATCATAATATAATGCAACCATTATAAATACGTACATATTGTATGTAACCTCATAAATGGTTATTTAACTAAAGTATTCAAAAATAGATGTCGCTTTATGAATTCTAATTCCTAGTGTCCTATATGTCCGTAGGGAGTGGACATCTTGCATATAGATTCTCTTCAGCAATTGAAGCGTTTGCAATGTTTGGAACTAAAGGCCCCCTCCCATATGAACGAATCAACCAAACGCAGTCTTGCGATTACAATTCTAGCGATTGGCAACGTCAACATGTTTACTGAAGCACATCTTTGCGCATGCTTCCGAAGCTTTCCGAGGGGAAACTTACACATACGAACATCCCAACGATGTACAACGTACATACTAATGGGAACGGATTTTACTCAATTCCTATTCGCAAGACTGCGTTTAGTGGATTCGTTCTTATGTGAGGGGGGCCTAAAGTGAGAAAAACTTGATCCCTCATTTCGTAATTCGTGTTTCCTGTATTTGATGCTGATTGTTTCAGTTCAATTTGAAATTACGAATTCTGCCTACTACTATATCCGTTACCATTGCATCGAACAGTTTCATTAGTAATGATTTCAATTATGCGACCTATACTTCCGGCAGGCAATTCCTGTTCTTGCAGCTCGAGCGTATTTCTGATTGTTTTCAAATGGTTGTCACTAAGTGGTGAATCGTGATGAACCGTTAACCAAACATCCCCTGAAACAGTTTGTCTTTTAAGTACATATCTGGGCATATTAAAGATGATATAATATGACAAATAAAGTCACACATGAATATAAGACACTTTTATCACTTTTATCATTTTGTATTTCAAATATCAAATATAATTCTTCGCTCACCTTTCTCCACGCGTTCACCAAGGTGTTTACGAAAATGTAGCCCAACACTGAGGTTGATTTGGTCCCCCGCCTTTGCACGTCCAGCACCAAGAGAGTTGATCAGATTTGATAAAGCTAATGCATCAACTGCACTGATATATCCTGAAAAGAAACAATTAAAATGTACGTTCTACTAGACATTCATTAAAAAACAATAGTGAGTTATCACATTACCCAAACCCAAGCATTAATAGCACCTCGTTAAATCATCTCATGAATAACCCTAACGCAGACAATTTATTTTTTGAAATGAAGAACGGGTTGGAGTCAGATGCTCTTCTCTCGCAAATGAAAACTGTACTTACTTCAACTAGCTTACTCTTAATTTATAGAAAACATTGTGATATGAGATATTTTATTTAGACAGACTACCTCCAGTGTGTACTTTTACATCGGTTTTTAGCTTGGACGGTCTGAAGATACTGAAAAAGTCAACATCTTTCTTGCATAAAGAATTAGCGGTTGTCTCATCGACCCCCTGAGCTTGCATCATTAGGCGGAATTTCTCCAGGGCCGAACCATTGGCGATGGTTTCTTCAATAAGTTGATAGCCTTTCATTGGTGTTGAAACCTTCCCAGCATTTTTTAAAAGATGTCCACCTAGAAAATACGAAACACTTAAAAGGTCGTCCTTAAATCATGATATAAGACGGTGACAGAACAGAGTAATTTCAAACCCCTTATAATATATCTTTGAAGCATTCCGTATACCTAAAGTGCACACGAGCTCCAACAGATCTGAAGGTCCGTTTCCTTGCATTGTTTCAATTGCGTCTATGATCTCAAGAGAGTGTCCCACGTAATTGCCGATTGGGTTGTCCATACGAGTCATTATAGCAACCGTCTCTACGCCAACGCCACAGCTTGCTGACACCTGGAAACGTTCTGCATTTAACATAAAAACATCGATGTCACATGAAAACTAATGCGTATGCAATGGATGAATAAGCTAGCTAGTTACCGGTTTGATTGCAAAGATTTTAAGCAATATTCAAGAACATTTTAGTGAATATAGTCTTTTCACTATATTTTCATTCGAAATCATTTGAAGAGTTCTCAGTTGTAATAATTAACGAATAATCATTTTTGAAATTGAACGACAAATTGCAAGGGATCTTGCAATATGCTAAGGTATACAATAATAAACACTGATCGTTTGCTTGTTATTGGGTTGTGAGAAATGTCATTTTATATTTCTTTATCTTGTATAATTCTTACCATACTTTTAGCAAGACCTCTCGCCTCTTGTTCGGTCTTCATAAAGGTCCCTTTGCCACACTTCACGTCCAACACAAGCGCTGATAAACTCTCTGCCGTCTTCTTGGATACAATAGATGAGGTTATGAGCGGCAGACTGTCGATCGTTCCCGTCACATCTCGTATGACGTAGAGGACTTTATCAGCCGGCACGAGTGTTTTTGTTTGACCAACGATGCAACATCCAACCTCTTCAAGAACCTGGCGCATTTTCTCTGCACTGCACGAGATCTGAAATGTGAACATCGTAAAAGAGTGATCATAAGTTTAACTTTGGGAGAGAAGTTTAAGTTTCATATCCGAATGTACACCTCTGATGGGCTTCTACTAAATTGTATTAGATGTACATGGGTGTAGCCAGGCGAGAGGCTAATGAGACAAGTGCCTCTCGCTAAACGTTTACAGAAATACATTTTCAGACGTTTTTATTTCTAAATGAACTCTACAAAGATGTACTATACTGGCTTAATCTTAATTTGTCTGGACAAATAACGTATAATCACGTCATGATCATTTAAATCGAATAACCAACTTGGAATCCTGGTATAGCTTCCAGTTTGTCTAAAGTCCCATGCGTGTACGCCAACCCCCTGCCAGATATCATCGGAACCTAAAAAATAAGCTTTAAACTTAAAATCCTAATATCATCAAAAATCACGAATAAAGGCGGGACAAACATTTGAGCTGATATTACTCTTGCTCAGATTGACAGAGCTTAACTGTATGTCATCAACAAGACATTTTCAGAGCTACCTTATTTTATGAGGGAGGTAATAAATCATGCCATCTAATGGTTAAGATGTCAATTTTACAGTTTCAGGTCAGAATTTGGATTTACTTCTTACAATTGTTTTCTTTCGTCAGTAATCTAGCCTATTGTTTCCTTGGTATACCAGTAGGGCTCGGGATTTATTGGAAAGGTGTTTCTTCTTGCAAAGGAGTAATATTTGTACTGATACTTGCCTTCATGCCACATGCTGCAAGAGCAGGAGCGAGAACAATGCTGACTTTATCCCCTACTCCCCCGGTGCAATGCTTATCCACCACCAGCTTATCTCGGGTCCACTCTTCAGGCCATTGTAGAACCTCGCCCGACCGCATCATAGCCCGGGTCAGACCAATGGTTTCCTCTGTGCTTAGTCCGTTTAGTCGTATAGCCATTAACAGAGCACCTGAGAGCACCTGAGAATAGTACTGCTCAGTCCGTGCATTTATCAAAAATTAAATGCACAGCAAAATCATTTGGATGCATATATCAATAAATTAACACGCTGATATGCTGCTTTAAGCCGATTGGCTAGACACATATGGCATGTTTGAATTGATCCTGGTTAGCGCTACTAATATGCTTCGAGCGTACATTCTATAGATAAAGCTTTATTGATATTTTTTCTTCTTGACCTTTGGCATGTCTTTTATAGGTCCTTATCTGGGAACCAAATCTCAACATTTGGCCAGGAGATTGGTAAAATGACGAAACTTAAGGCATTGTAAGTTGTTTTTTTGTATCGCTTTAA